ACAGACAATCACCCCTGCTAAAAGCATTTTCTTCTCCAGCCACCTTTCCACTGTGAACAAAAAGCATATGCGCTTAACATTTCACTGCTGAGCAGTGTTACACACACTTTGAAAATGAGCTAGGTAATCTAAAACCAAATAAAAAGCAGCAGCTTGGAGAAAGAGTGATTTCTTGGATGCTACTGTGTACAGCTCTTATTTTTTAAATTCAGGAGAAACGCAGAAAGCACCGTATGCACCAAAACATCCACCTTATCTTTTGAGAAGCCATTCTGAAACACACCGAAGAATTCAGCTTAAGGATCCTTAAAGCTTTTCACAATAGCTGTAAGATCCCAATAAAGTTGGGTCTGACTGATGCAGAAAACATTTTTCTAGACCCAATGTTTAGACAAAGCAGAGGACTAGGCCTGTGATATGTATTTATTTGTTAATTGGTAAGTATATGAGATCATGTTGCTTACAGCTGGAACAAATCCCCCACAGCATTCTCAGGAGAGTCACTGGACTATTTGGAGCCTTCTTCATAATGCAAACATACACATCAAGAAGTTTCTTTCTCCCAATACATCTCTAAAATCTTAATTTTACATTTCAACACAATATAAGTACATAATCTGGAAAGTATAGTAGTATTTTGAAGAACTTTAAAGGCATTTAAAGCATGCCTGTATTCAGCAAAAATTTAAAACATATTACTGGTTTGAAAAATTTCACAGTAATGCTGGGAGAAATTTTATAAAATTGATTTTATAAACCAGATTCTGCAGTCTATATTCAGTTAAAATCTCTTTCAACTTGATCTTCAGCTTCTGCATTGACAAAAAAATACACTTTTTAGAAGTGGTTACGAAGTTGCCAATACAGAAATATAGAACATAAGGAATGCATTTTCTTGCACAATAGCCTTCACTTAATATAGCATATTTAATAGAATAGAAATGTAAGATAAATAGGATCATTTCTGCAACTATTGACAACAAATGAAAATAGACATGTAACTCAACATAATATTGACCATAAAAATAGTAATAAATTCTCTGCAATTTTCCGTTTACTGCTAGCTTTTCTGTTATTGTTTTCTTATTCTGAATCTTACTAAAGAAGTTACTAGAATGGATAAACTGAAAATCAAACAGCATCTAACAGCATTAATAATACTTAAAAATTTTTCCATTATGCATTCCTTTTCCTTAATCTTGTGTGTCTCTTTCCTTGTCTTAATTTTATTATTAAATACATTTAATTCTTGTTTGAGAATTAATTAATTTATGACTACTGCTCATTGGAATTTTAAATCCATCTGTTTGCTACTAAACATTTTTCATCACAATCAAATATGTTAAAAAAATTATAGGCCAAATGCACTCCCTGTCAATACTTTGTGACCCTATTTCCATCATTATGATTTCACTGTGACATAAAACCCCTTCTTAACTTTGTCAGAGTTTGTTAGGATTGTAGCTGCAAAACTGTAAGGTGGAAAGTCTAAATGAAAAAGTGATAACATGAAAGCTCTTTAAGAAACTTCTAGTACTAATGACCTCAAAACATACGTATGGCAAAAAAACATCCCAAAGCACTATTTATACAGGCATTCTCCAGCCCAAACACTTTTGAATCTGAGATATTTCTATGGTCCTTTTGCTTTTCTTTTTCTTTCCCTTTTTTAAAAAATGCCACGATTGTTTCCTCCTCTGTAGATAGTTTCCCTAGAGTCCTTATGGCTACTAATGACGGCAAAAACCTACTTTCCTTGAGTACAGATTAAAAAATTCAACTCTAAATTACAGATCATCCTCATAAATGTCACTATTAAATTTATATTTGCTGGTTACAAGGTCTTTAAAGTGATAGCAAATCAATAAAGCTTACTCTAATTTTGTGGGATTAAGGTACCAATCTGTTTTCACACTAAACAAGCTTTGAACTGATGAAAAGTATCAGTGACCTTTGCCAAAATGCTTAACTCACCTGTTTCCCAATTTAGCCAATGATATCTTAGTTTCTCCAACTAGTAACAGTACTTCAACCCTATAGATTTAGCACCCATTCATATGAAAGTTATTAATGATTTATAAGTTCTTAAAAGAGGACACAGAAAGCAAGCTGATTAAAGCATTGGTATATTATTTAATATTTATCACATTTCCTCTTTCAAAATAGTATGCACTATCAAGCAGCATGTTTGTTTGTGTACTGTGAATTTCTTCAGCAATGCCACATTTAACAAAGAACAAAGAAGGAATACACTGTCGTAATTTTTCCATCACAGTTTATCACCACAAAGTTTGACAGTAGCTTGGTATACTAAATGTTTAATAATGACAATGTGATTTGACTTTATCTACTGAAAACTAGTGCAGGTATGTATGATTTTATTAGTAAGAAATCTTAAATAAGCACCTTAGAGTAATTAATCCTTCATTCCTTGTACACTGCTTATATATGTCATGCCATTATCTGATCTGAATAACAAGAACAATTGCATAATAAAAAACATTACTGCTGACACATGCAACTTTGTTATATCAATTTTATATCTTCACAGTAATAGGTCTTTTTAAGTCCTCTGTTGTTTCTTCTGAATTAGATTGAACTGATTTGACATTTTCCTATATAAACAATTCAAGATTTTACATACATATATAATCAAATACAATATTTATCAAACTTAAGTCATGATTTGACATAGGTCATTTCCCACAGAAGTAATTACAGCAAAAGTGGAGTATGTGTTGTCATTTTTTACATAGATACTAAAGTACTGCCAAGACATATCCTAAAACAAAGAATGAAGAGTATGCTCCAAACTAGAAAGCTATTGAGTATGTTGTGACTCAAGCTAAACTAAACAATGTAGTTCCTCTAAGTTTTTTTGTTTTGTTTTTTTTTTTTTTACATAGACACTTTTTTAAACTTTCAACATTGTAATGTTGCGTGTTTGGGACCACCTAGCAGAACTGAAAGCTTAACCTAATAAACTTCTCTGTATGCAATCTCAAAACAGTTCATGTAAATTAGTTGGATATATTATTTTAATGCTTTGCCCACAGGGAATACAACACAAAAATGAGCCATGTCAAATGTTGCCTAGTCACCAAAAAAAAAAAGGGAAAAAACAAAAGCTTTATTCTTAACTGAAATGTAAATTCATAGTAATAAAACAATAACAGTAGGATTCCTTACTAAGCCAGTAAATGTGTTATCCTTTAATTTCAGGTTCACAAGTTCATTGGGTGTTTTTCTGTCATAAATGTTACTGTCAATTACCCAAAGACTATTGTAATGCAATATGAAAGTCACCCAGATTCACTGTCTCTGAACTTGTACCCTATGTTTTGTAATTCTTCCTTGCTCTAAGATTGTGAATACCTGAGAGCAACTCTGAATGTCATCCATCTGCTACAGCAGATTTAGTCTTTCCTGACTGTATCATATTAATTTCCTAAATAAATTTTGTCTAATTATCTTTACTGTTGTGACACAAACTGATTTCCTTACTTCACAAAGGAATGCATTTCATTTGACCCCGATAAACTTTCACTCTTGGTGACATTTATTAGTTGTGATTTATTTTGAATTACATCTGAAAATGTAACATGAATTTCACATTGAGAAGTGTATTAGAATATATTTGTAAATGCGTGTTTAATGTCTTCTAATGACACAAGTTTATTCTGATTGGGTGAAGAGTAAAGACATAATACATAAGACAATTGATTTGTATAGTTTATTTACAGTACTCAGTATTCTGAATTTTTACTGTAAAATAACTCAAATTTGGTAAGAATTTGTAAAGACATAAGTTCATTTTATTCAAATTCACATCCATACTCTCCCTATAATAACTACAACGCATGAAGAATTTAAATCCAAGTCCATTTGGCCGGAATGGAGAAAAAATGCTGAAATGCTATTGATTCCTTCCAGGACATTCAAAACACCTGACTCAACTGTATTTCTACTGACATAACACTAAGGTTTTATTTAGGTATTAGCAAACATGAGTAAATATTTCATTGACATACCTGTCATTCTTATTTCTCTTCTCTACCTAGGAAACAGTTAACCCTCAACTACTAGTACTAGATGTTTCCTCTATCAGAGAGGCAGCAAATGTCAATAACGAGTCCACTGTCCCAAGAGAAATAATGTCTCCAAAAGTTCTCCTTCCCATATGCAGATATATTTAGCGCTGAACAACACCTAACGGCAGACTCTTCGTGACATACCCTTATTTTATCGTTTTACCTTCTGTCAACTCTACAGCTCAGCCAGCAAAACACAGTCTCACTGCTCATGAAACCCTTCTAAATGAGTTTATCTTTTTGTTTCCCCTAGATCTTTCTCACCTATTGAAAACAGTGTGATCAGTACTTTTGAATATGTCCCATAAAAGCACTTAGAAAGCAAAACTGTTGTCTGGAACTGTCATCCTCATTATACATACTTTTATATACATAAAACTTGATGAAAAATTTATAAACTTCGGAAATGTGAACTAAAAATACTTACAACTGAATGCAGGTAAAAATACTCTCAGCATCTGTAACTCAGGCAAATTTCATATTAAACTGAATGCCCCATTACCAGGCATTACTTTGCAGGTCAGATCATGCTGTAGAACCCTCCTGAGGGAACATGTCTTTGTTTAGATATTGTCTGTAATCTATCAAATACCTACACTCGAACTAAGGTAGACATTACACAATACTTGCCACACTCAGTTTCTTTAGACAAGTATTCACCTACAATTTTCTTTTCTCATAAGAGACCAGTAAAACATTTAATGCATTTTCCCACCAAAAACAGTTCAAGCTACCACAGCCTCCAAGTTTCTCTTTGACCAGCACAGTAACCTGAAAACAGAAATATATGCATGCACATATGTATGTATATAAAAATGTGTGTCTGTGCATACATATGTGTGTGAACGCTAGGAAAAGGTTTGGAGGAGCCTGAGAACATAGGGACAGAAATCAAGCAGATTTACTTACTAATGTTGTCCGCTCGGACGTCTTTGGAAACCTGAAGGAGTCTCCGCTTTCCCCTCCTGCCAGTCAGGCGCCGCGTTGTGCCCCTAGTCCACACAGGCCCAGAAGGAACTGCAAAGAGAGAGAAGCACATGCCACATCAGGCAGTTCTGTTTTGATGGGATCCAGCGCCGTTGCCGCTAGCTCCTGGGGGTATCCCTGCTTTCAGAGCAGACTCCGACAAAGAGTCATTCTTCCAAGGAATTTTTTTTTTTTGGTCACAGTGATTTAAAAAACAAAAAAAAAAAAAACAACAAAAAAAAAAAAAAAAAAAGGAAAAAAAAAAACAAAAAAAAAAAAAAGAAGAAGAAGAGGCTTCCTGGGGCTCCTGCACCCTAAAATTTTGCCGGGAGGGCGAGAGGGGGGGGGCTGACGGGGAAGGGAGAGTAAGGTACTGCAACTCTCTTCCGATAAGGCCGGCAGAGAGAGAGAGAGGGAGGGAGGAAAAGAGCGACGAGAGGGAGGAGAGAGGAGCGAGAGAGGGGGTGGGGAGGCGCGGGTGGGGGGTGGGTGTGTGCGTGTGTGTGTGTGTGCGTGTGTGTGTGTCTGTGTGTGTGTGTGTGTGTGTGTGTGGCGCGGGGCGGGGGGCGCTGGAGGGGTTCTCTCCGCGGGGTGCTGCGGCGCGCCGGCTCTCGTGCGAGCGCTGCCGGCTGCGGGCAGGGGGCACGGCGGGACCAGGGCGGGGGGCGCGCTCCCCCCGGGCCCCGCGCAGCCCCCTGCGCCGCTCAGCACGCTCACCTGCATTTCGCTTAACGAGCCACTTGATGGCCGGGCGGCGGCCCCCGGGCCCCGCCGCAACTTTGGCGGCGCGGAGGCGCGCCCGCCGCGAGCTTGGGGAAATGGGACGGGGAGGTGCCGGGCCGCGAGGTGCGCGCCGGTAGCAGCCCGCGGAACTTTGCGCCCGGAGGCGGGTGAGGGGCTGGGGGGTCCGGAGGGCGCGGCGGGACTGCGCCGAGCCCCGCGTGTGCGCGCCGCAGCCGCGCAGCGATCCCGGGGCTCGCTCCGCCACCCCCCTCCCCCGGCGCTGCCTCCTCCCACCGCGCTCCCCGGCGTGTGCCACAGGAGTGAGCTCCGCGCTGTTAATAATAATAAGCCCCATTCCCGTCTTCCTCTCTCCCCGAGAAAACAATTAATAATGCATTAAAATAATGCACCTTTAAAGCCGCTGGCTGGCGATAATAAAATAATAATATTACCACTACTTAAGAGAGCGCTGATGTGGATGTGGTGGCGAAGCACGTTTTCCTATCATTCACACCCAAATGTGAGCACACATTCTGCTTCTGGTATTCATAAGTCCCTCTCCCGTACCAGAGCAACTATCATTGTCACCATCAAAGAGAAAGTCTCCAAAGCTGAGTGGAGACATCGAGTCCCCAGGTGGCTGTTGTGGCTGGGCTGCAAGGAGGGCACCCTTCGCCCTCTTCCGTTCGCCCCAACAAATCTCATCGCTTCCCCTCTTTTGCTTATACCGGTGGGTTAAGCATTGTGTTTGGCCCTTTTAGTGTTTTCCCTTCTGTTCCTCCCCTGACGATAGTTTGTGTATTTTAAATAAAGATTTCATTCTGCCAACCCGCAGGAAGCTTTTAACAAGATGCAGCTGAGCGTGTCGATATCTTATATCTTTTTACTGCTGCTCCGACGTGTACATCAACTCCAAACTCCCTTCTTTTCTTCTCTGCCTGATACTGTAGCATCTCAGAGACGGCGGCGGCGGCAACCGCAGAGCTCTGCTCCCGGTGGGCACTTTTACTTTGCCCTCGAAGTATCTCCCAGCAACGAGACCCGTTGGAGCCCCCTCCTCTCCCCCCTCCCTGCTTCTTTACAGAAAAATGCTGGGGTGATTGCTGTAAGGTTTCCAGTTCCACTGATAACACAACACTGTCTGAGAGCAGACGGGGGGCGGGGGGAGGGAGGGGGTTGTCGGGATTTTCATTCTGTTTAGAATACAGTTTTGTGTTTGCGCTATTTTTAATTAAGATTTTTCCAGAAATAGATCCCATCGAGATTTAATTTACGAAGGTATTTCTAACACAGGTCAATACTGTCTTCCAAGAGGAACATTCACAATCATTTGCCTCCCCACAACAGTGCACAAATGCTTTTAACAGACGGTAAACCGTTTATGCAAGACTAAAAGAAGGGATTTATTGTTGGGGTATCTTTGAGTTTCATGAAGTCTGATTGGGGTTTTTTGGGTTAGGGGTTTTTGTTGTTGTTTTGATTTTGTATGTTTGTTTTAATTTTCATTTCATCTGCATTAAAATAAAACTTTGTTCAGTATGCCAGGTACCTCTTTATTGATTTCTGGGGTTTAAGAGACGCGTCCTCCCCCCACGGGATGTTTTGACTGAAGGTGATTTCTTTCCATGATACCGTTTCTAACCCGTAGCTGTGCAGTTCTAGCTTGCTGGTCGCCTGCTACTCCACGGTAGCTCAGCCGTAACCACCTCCTCGTACCCTGGCACCAGATTAAACCTGAGGAGAGGCGCTACGCGGGCCTAAGCCTCTCCAAAACCTCAGCGCAGTCAGAGCTGCCTCCGGGGAAGGCCGCGGGGTGAAACATCGCAGCCGGGCCGCGGGGCGGGCGGGGCTGGGCCCTGGGCACCGCACGGCAGCAGGTCGGGGCGCGCAGTCACCCCGCAGCCCGAGAACGGGGCAAAGGGGGATCTTCCTCGCCTTAGAGGTGGCAGAGGGCGCACCGTCCGCCTGCGGGTATGATTTCATCTCCGAAGTTCACCCTCCGCAAACTAGAGCGCTACCCTGAAAAGAGGACAGGAGGTGATGAGCTCCTGGTACACCTGGTACTGAGTATCGCCGGCTTTTCTTTAAGGTTCACTTCAACTCAGTTTGACCTACTTTGAAGCACGAAGGTTCAGAGTTTGGGGGGAGTGGTGGGAAGGACAATAGAAGAAGAATAGAAAAATATTTCCCTCCCCGTTTTTCCTCCCAGTGGTTTTTTACCCTTTGGTAGATCACTTTTGAGTATTGCTTTAAATTACAATTAAGTGTAATCACTAGTGTTTTTAAAACTGATTTCATCTATACACTAAAACACTGCTAAATGCAGTAGAAAATTAGCAGAAAATGTGTGTAACATCTTAACACCCCTTATCAAATTGGAATTATATATTTTTCATTGCTATGTTCCATTCAATATTCAGTCCTTTCCCTTATTTTTTCCTTTGTCTTAGGTTTTTCCAGCTTACTATGTCTTATTCCTGTATTTCACTGCAAAATTCTTCAAGGGGTACTGTATTTCATGAGTACCAAAGTTTTGTGCAGTATCATATCTTAAAGAGGTCACTTCTTGAGAATTAGCTGTGAAGCTCAAATGAACCACCTATTCTCCATCCTGAGCGTTACAGTAAGCTTTTTAAAATTTGTGAAGGCTGGGGTGAATTTAACATTAGAAATTGTTGCAAAGTTGGCCACATGAGAGCAACTGGAAAAAAAAGTCATGTGCATACAAAAACACATAGAAATAAACTGGAAATAAAAATAAAAGTAAAATGTTACAAATATTAATTTAGAAGTTAATATATATCAGTTAGGAAAATCTCCAAGCCACAGTGTTTGCCAAATCTTTTGACCTCTACCATCTGAAATAACTGAAATTTAACATAGAGCCAGTGCTGCAGCTATAAGCAACTAATACAGTAGGAAAGGTGATTTGCATATTTGCTTTTTTTAGAATTTAGTTGTAGTAGTAAATATGCTGTTTTGTACATCACCAGCACTTCTTTTTGGGCATAATCTATTTCTTTTTTGCAAGCCGTGCGTGAAAAGTATGGCTGAGGTTGGACATTTAAAAAAAAAATTATAATGAAGTAGGAGGAAAAGAAAATGCAAGCCCAGAAAAACTGCAAACCTGACAGTTTTAAGATGCAAAATATCATCGCATTTTTCTTCCACCTTTAGGTCTCTGTGGGCTCACATGCTTCTTTTTTTCAACCAACTTCAGTCCTCAGTTCTCTGCTTTTCGTGGACTAGAATCTGCAAAGAAAAGATGTAGACATTTTGGTAGGTAGCATACGAACAGAAAGAAGTTTAATTGTCACATCCCAAAATAAAAGTTATGAGATAAGAGGAATAGGAAATACACAGGAAAATATATAGCAAGAAATGCTTTGTGAAACTGTTCTTGACTGTTTTATTCTGGGGCAGAGTCTAACATCTCCTGCAGGAAACTGAGAAGATGACTCAGCAATTTATAACCACCTGGAAGGCAAAAAGGACCATTTCTGCAAAGACCAGGTGCCTGTGAGCATCTCTGAAGCTCTGATATCCTCACATGATTAATTTGTCTGACACAGGTTTGTCAATACAAGCTCCTTCCTTATTCACACTGGCCAGAGCTAAATAGTTTATTCTGAGGAAAAAATAAAACATACAAATGAGAAGTAACACAGTACTAGTGTTAATATACTTTCACAATAATCATGTTTTAAGAGAGACAGGGAAACTATATGTATTTTTTTTTCACTGTGTGTAAAACATAATTACTCATTGTTCAAAGTCTGCAACCGTAAGCTACACATGCTCCAAATGTGCATATGATGAGAAAAATTAAGAAAGAAATGCATTCATATATGTGAATTAACTTTCTTACAAAATGAGAGGAATTCATCTTTGAGCAGGTGTTTCCTACCTTTGGATTGCAGGATTCCTAAAAATATACTTGCTGACATAATCTTTTATTTTCAAGTTGCTGAAATTTCTTTGCATGCAAGGGGTAGGTATCCACCCATGAGCCAAACACCTCATGGGTCATAATGGGAATTTTTCCTGGGGAAGAATTGTAACTCAGGAAGCATGACAAGATATTAAGGAGGAAAAATAAAAGTTTATTTCAGGACAATGATATTTGTGTATTAACTATGTTCATTTATAGAACAACAACCATATTTCCAAATATATTTAAAATAATTTGGTAATTGTACTTGTATCTGGTAGTACTTTCATTAAAAATGTTGAAAAAGAAAAATAAAATATTCAAACTAAATGTCATGCAATATCTTCTTAATTGTCTTTTTTCTTTTTTCAAGGGGTGAAATGGGTCTATATATCCCCATTATCTAGAAAGTATTTTTTCCTTCA